AACCCACAAGATGCTGTAATTCCAGTTCCAGACCTGATGCCCTCCTCTGGCATCTGAGGGCACTGTAAACACATGGTACATAGATATTCAAGCAGGCAAAACACTCATCCACATACAATTTTAAAATAATAACAATGAAACAGGTTTGGGCCAAACTGCCCCCAAGAGAGAATGTACTAACCCTCTCCCAGCCCCTTACATGATAGCATCTGTTTTCTAAATCTGTGTTGTCATCTCTTTGCCATTCCAATAGACTCAAGGTGGCACACAATTATAATTTTAATTTAATTTACATTTCTGGCAATATGAGGAAGATTAAAAGTTGGTGCTAACTGGCTGTATGTTCATAAAATTCACGTAGTCTTCTTTGGATTATACATCTAGTTTGCATTCTTTGGTCCTCCTGGTAGCTGGGTGAGGCCAAGTGACTTAGCCTCTAGACAGTGGAATGCAGCTGGCAGTAGCAACCATGATGTCACCTCCTTAGGTGGCTCATGAAGGCTTCTTAAGAAAGTCCTCCATCACCTCCCTTCTCATATCTGCTAGCCAGAAGCAGAGTGTATAAAGGCTGGTGGAGTTGTAGAGATGGCAGAGCCACTGCAAGAGGATCCCAAGTCTCTATGGAATGGCTATTGGGGCAACCTGCTGAGCGTGCCAATTTACCTTCTACTATACAAAAGGACTGGATTTTGGTGATTTGTATACAATAGAGTTACTTAAACTTTAATAAAGAAACACATTCCCATCCCCGTTTTAACCAGGAAGAAGAAAAAAAAAAGAGCCTCATTCTCCCCCGTCTTAGTTAGGGTCTACTGTTGTGAAGAGACGCCGTAACGGGACTGGAGATATGGGTCAGTGGTTAAGAGCACTGATTGTTCTTCCAGAGGACCCAGGTTCAATTCCCAGCACCCACATGGCAGCTTACAACTGTCTGAAAATGCAGTTCCACAAGATCTGTCCCCTTCACACTAATGCACATAAAAAAAAAAATAAGAGGTTAAAAAAAAGAGAGACACCATAACCATGGCAACTCTTATAAAGAAAGACATTTAATTGGGGCTGGCTCACAGTTTCAGAGGTTTAGTCCATTATCATCATGGTGGCACATGGCAGTGTACAGACAGACATGGTGCTGGAAAAGATGAGAGTTCTACATATTGATCTATAGGCAACAGGAAGTGAACGTGAGCATATACGAGACCTCAGAGTCTATCCCCACAATGGTACACTTTCTCCAACAAGCCCACATCTCCTAATAGTGCCACTCCCTATAGGTCAACAATTCAAACACATGAGTCTATGCGGCCACATCTATTCAAACCACCAACCCCAGATGTTTAAGAACCACTTCTATTTCTTTTTGTGTTTATTTCCTTGGCACATTATTTTCTATGGAGCTATTTGTTCTGGTGGAAGCCTCACCCCAGCCCCTGACATCCATTTGCCCAAAGAGTCTGGGATGTTTTGGTGGAAGTTTCACACCAAGCCCCTCCCCCATCTCTCTTCAAACACAGCCACATCTCGAATAAAGCCCACAAAATGAATACCCTCCCTCCCCCAGAGATACTCAAGACCACTCCCACAGGGTATTTAAACTGCCCCCCGGAAAACAGACACGTGGTTTCCAGTCTTCCTTTCCTGTCTCCTCTCTGAGGGGCTGGAAAATCATCAGGTAGCATCGTATCCATTAAACCTAGGCCTTTTCTAGGTTTGATTTGGTCTGATCTGGACTGTTGTGTTGGCAGAGAGGCTGATAGGGTGGAGAGAAACTGCATTATTATTGATCATCAGTGTTCACAGGAAGATGATATTCTTCACACTGATTTGTCAGGGCTCTTTCTCTGCTCTGCCATGCCAAAAGAAATCCGTGATTTTCATGTAGCTAAATTTAAAAAATGTTTTCTTTTCTTTTTTTAAAAGATTTATTAATTATGTAAACAGTGTTCTGCCTAAATGTATACCTGCAGGCCAGAAGAGGGCACCAGATCTCATTATAGATGGTTGTGAGCTAACATGTGGTTGCTGGAAATTGAACTCAGGATCTCTGAAAGAGCAGTCAGTGCTCTTAACCTCTGAGCCATCTCTCCAGCCCCCAACTTTTCTTTATATTGGCCATCTATGCAGAAAGGCCTCTTTATTTGGAGATGTAAAAGCAAGACAACTTTATTCAGGATGGCAATCAGTAAACTCTCGGTTTTGTTTCTGTTGTATGGATGTGATGATGCTGGTTTTTCCTTCCAACCTGACACAACCAAGAATCACCTGGAAGAGGAATGACCTAGAACATGCTGGCCTCTGGCCATATCTGTGGAAACTGTCTTGACCGTTAGTTACGGTGGAAAGACAAACCCCGAGTGTGGACAGCACCATTTCATGCACTGGACCCTGAACAGTGGAACTGGATCTAAGGAGCCGCAAGCGGGCAGTGCGGACAGTTATTCCCTCTGCTCTTGTCCACGCATTGGTGCCTTAAGTTCTTGTCTGGGTTTCCTTGCAGTAATGGACTATAACCTGGAACTCTGAGCCAAAACAAACCCTTTTCTTCTCAAAACTGCTTCTGTGCTCAGGGTGCTTTATCATGGCAACACCAGTGAAACTAGACAAAGAACTTCAACAGAAATGTGGCTGAACCTTTGCCACTTCACTGCATAGGGAAGTCTCCCCTTTTATTCTGTGCCGGAGTTTCCAAGAGGAAGAAGCAACTTTCTGCATAAACTCCTGCATCAGGAGCAGCTGTGACTCTGGGATGAGTGAGGCCTGCTCAAGTCCCAGAGGTGAAACAGTACAGGTCCAGAAGGCTGAAATCTAAGTCCGCCACACTTGCCCGCGGACCACACAGTGCAGAAGTCCATCAAGGCCAGGTCACTGTCATCTGGCTTGGTGAGACTACAGAGAAGGGAGTCCAAGTCCAAAAATATCAAGTAATGTAAAGCTGCACCTCCTGAGATTTCTCACGTCTCATTCCTACAATGAGTGCTGTAGTAGAAGCCGTGAATAGCTAATAAGAATGCATCCTTGAGCATTTTGCTGCCTGC